AGGTCCAGAGTATGGGAGCATTTGCTGCATTTTAAACTAAGGCAAGAGGTAGAAAAAAGGAACAGACTAAAACTGTAAGGCAGTAGACATAAAAATAAAATACTAGATTATAAATAGTGCTGCACAATATTTGAGTTCCCTGGAAGTCAGGTTAAAGAAATAATCTTATGGATCATGTGATCTTCATCCATTTACCCTGTTAATAATAGAAAACATATATTCCGAGTCCCAAATTTAGAGTCGTTGAGCACTTAGAGTCCTTGTCTGTTTATTACATCTTTTCTTAATTTAGTTTTTAGTTTCCAGTAAAAAACATGAGTGATAATAGTTCCTTGTAACTAAGAATGTGAAATGAATACAGCACTTCTATAATTTGTACACGCAGTGTTTATACCCTTGGAGCATTTGATACAAGTGCATCTACAAATACAGATCTCATCTTCCAGGTGCATGCAGGTGTGGAGAATGTAGAACATTTTCTTTGTGTCCCTGTAGGAGGACCCAGGACCCTCTTCAGATGATGTAAGCATCTGCAGAGGAGGGTCTGTTCTGGAGACTGGCTCCCTGCATGCATGGATTTGCTCTCTCGTGCTGTAAAGCTGTTGACAGGAAGCAGTAGTCTTACATGTTGAAAACACTTGAAAGGAATATTTCAGTGAAGTCTTTTATGGACCGAGTGCTTTCCCTCAGCTTTGCAAAGAAGCAGTCACCAGAGTTGGAGCCCTGCTTTGCTAGTCATTTTTCTTACAGTGGTGGTTGTTTTTTTGTTTTTGTTTTTTGTTTTATCTTTCATGCATTTGCTTCTGTTGGGTACCTGTGTTGTCACAGAGACTTTAGGAACTCAGTGGATAGGTCAAAATCAGGATGTATTAGCAACACACAATTCTTATGCTAGCATCACCAAAAAATTTAAAAATTAATAAAAAATTAAAAACTATACTTGCCACTGCTTTGTCTTGCTACTCTATTTATTGTGTGCATGTGGTATTTATATGCATGTGGCATAAGCATATATAAATGTGTGTGTGTGTGTGCCTGTGTGGAAATCTGTGGGAACCTTTGGCTGTCGTGTTTTATCACTCTTTGCCATAGTCCATTGAGACAGGGTGTCTTAACTGAGCCTGAAGCTAAACCTTTTTCCCGAAACTAGCTGGCATTTGGCCCCAGCCATTCTCCTGTCTCCACCTTCTATGTTTCTATCGTTTGGGATACTCATGGCCCTGCCCGTTTTTGTATGTGAGTGCTGTGCTGGGGAATTGGAACTCATGTCCGTATGCTTGTGAAACAAATGCTCTTAACCACTGAACCATCTCCCCAGCTCCTGGTCTTCCTTTATCTCTCCTTCCTTTCCCTTCCTCTCCTGTTTCTTCTCTTTCATTCTTTGCTATTCATCAGCACATTCCATTCTGGAACTTGCAGGGAACAGTTGAATGTAGCCTTGCTGTTGTTGGCCACAGACTGTCTTCCTAGTTCCTAACTCCACGATCTTCCTTGAGCTGATGTTTCACTCATCAGTTAATGCAGTCGTACTGCAACCTCCCTGCAAAAACCCTGAATAAACACATTCACTCTGAGACTCTATTCCTGGTTGAGAACCTTTTAAGATTCCGAAGTGACTCTCGGAGCCTACTTGAAGTGAGCCGAACTTCTGTAGCACACAGACTCCTTTTCTTGTCTCTGAGCTCTGTGTACATGTGTGGTTATCATGACTTAAAATGTGAAAAAAATCTTTGGAGGCTTGCTCCATTTACATGCGCTCAGCACAGTTAACAAACTGAATACCACACCTTGTTTTTATTTTCCTATTCATAATTGATATATGCACTTTCAAAGGACATCATTTTTTTTTCTTCCTAAGAAGAATGAATGTAATGTGGATCACATGGAGTGGGGGTCCAGACACAGAGAGATGAATGGATCACATCGAAATACTAAAAGGTTCTGATCCTTGGGGAGGAAGGAGGGAAATAGCGCAACCCTGATGCACTATATTTTATCCTTCCTGTCTGTGGAGGAATTAGGGTCAGGGCCCAGAAACTTTGCTCTATCAGCTGGGGTTTGTTTCAGCTCAGGTGGGGTGGGCTTCCCCTTTGATGGGTCATTTCCTCCTCTCCTATCGTATTCCAGGCTGCATTAAGATGACAAATTCCCCTTAAAGACAGGGACAGAGACATGAAAACCTGAACTATGCAGCGAATTGAGTGGGTGCAGATGAGCCGATTTATTGTGGGGAGAAAAGGGTTGTTTGAAGAACAAAATAGGTTTTGCTAACCTGGCTGTGCTGTAGAGCACACACAGGATTCCTGGTTCTATCCTGTTCGGTCTCTTCTCTTTGGGAAGGAATGCCAAAGAAAGTATGAAGAGTGTGGTGTGTGCAAGCCAAAGGCTCTTTAAGGTCAAATAAGTAGAATAAAAGTCCTACTTTCTTTCCTATCTGTGAACTCTGCAATAAATAATTCTCTTTAGGAGGGAGGGGTTAAAATAAAAAAGAAAAGAAAACCTGGCCAGTGAATGAGCAAGTCCATCAGATCAAACATGGCTGTGTTAAATACTAAAATGTTCAAAGTCCGACTGAGATAGATAAAGGCTTTGATGGAAAGAGGATATTTCCCAGGGACATTACAAGCCATAATCCAGATGTTACGGTGAAATGCAACGAGTGTCCACGGATAGATCAGGAGCTTCGGCCAAGCCGCGCCTGGTGCAGGCCTCAGCCTTGCCCTCCCATGCTGTTCTGCCATATGGAACCCATCTCCAGTCCCCTTAATAACCGGCTTTGGATTCCATTTTCACAGAGCTCATAGAGCTAAGTGGGACTGCTTTATGGACAAGTTAGATAGAGGTCTTTCCAAGATAAACATCCAATTTGAAATTAGGACATACTGCACTGCAAAATTATTTTAGGGCATATTTCATGGACATGCTGCCATTTTTCTTAGGCAATTGCCAGGCTGTAGGATGCCCTTTGATCCTCTGTGGACATTACTCCCTGTTTTATAAAAGGGATTTTGAAAAAGTTGCAGTGCTGAGGGAGGAATATATCTGTCGGAACTTTGAAGCATGGCCCATGGGACAGGTCACGCTTCAGCTTGTTGGTTAGAAGTCAAACTTTTAAGAAGGAAAAGACAACAAAAGAGGGAATTACAGCAGGACTTATGAATCAAAATCTCATTTTTCCTTTAAAGGCAGACATGTCAGCTTGTGCACTCAGTAAGCTATAAAATGTGTAAGTGTATATTCTGTGCTTGTATGCACATGTGTAGATGTGGACATACACAGATGTATGTCTGTGTTATGTGCTGCTCTTGTGATGACTTTAACAAAGGTACTTAAACTGTTTTGCATCTTTTATTATTGAATATATCGTCTAGAAGACCAAGTGACAGTTGGATGTTAAGAAATAATCCTTGTTTGCTAGGACAATAGTCTCTCTCCTATTTGTTTTCCCATTTGCATTTTAGTCTCTTTCCTTTTTTTTCTCTTTGTCACATGTGTGTGTACATGTGCATGTGTGTGTGCATGTGAGTGTGTATAGAAAAATCCTTATGATCATCATGGATAAAAGTTGGGAGTACATATTTATGGTTATCATACATTGTTCAGCAAAATGCTCAGAGTGGCATGGGTACATTTTTTGACAGTGGTGAAGTGACATAGCTGCATCAAGTAGGCTGATAAAATATTAATATGGACCTAACATACTATTTGCTAGGACAAATTGTGACTGGAGATTGAGCAAACTGGCGTCTAAATGACTGCAAAGACAGAGTAAGCAGATGATGGGAATGCCTGCACCGAGTTAGCAGTGTATAGCTTTATTCTGATGCTAGGTTCCATTGACAGCCTTCAGTCTGGTGGGTTGTCCTCTGAAGAAACAGTATATACTTGTTTTGGGTCTCTTATCAAGCAGACTTTGGAAATGAGCTCTACCATCTAAACGCAGCCTGTGGATCAGGAGGGAATCCCAACTGAAGCATCTAAGTAGGGAGAGGCCACTGAGAGGGCAGGGCAATGAACGTCTCATGGGGTGCTGATCAATGCTAAAGGGACGATTGCTCATTGGGTTGAGTGTAATTGTGGCATTTTGGTTTTATAAAAACAAATGTGGGTTTTTTCTTCCCTAAAATGTTTTAGCGAGGCAAACTAATGACAGGAGAGAAGAAATGAGATGGGTGGAATATTGAATGTGGTGAGTAACATAGGAAGATCAGTTCTACAACTTCTCTTTTTACTTCATGGAAAGCTTAAAAATTGTATAATGGGGTTTATAAAAGATGCAGCCTCCATCTCCATCATTCAAGAATAGATATCTGTCTTCTTTCTGCATGGTGTTTAGGTATATATAAATGAAACCCTTTGGAAAAGGAAAAGATAAGTTTAGAATTACTTAGCCCCACCTGGGTTTCAGGGACCCTGAGATGACTTCATGCACCCTTTCTCATCCCACCCTGTCACATCTCCCCTTCTGGACCCACACAGCTTTTTTGGCCAGGTAGGTCATTGTAAGCTACACTTGGAGTTGTGGCTCCTCTTAAAGTGGCATGGGGCATTTTAAATACTAACCTGAAGAAAGAGGGAGAGGAAAGATGACTTGGAATGGGATAGATAAAATCACAATCAATTTTGGTAAATATCCAGAAGTGTTTTGTCCCCTAGAGCACCGCTTCTAAGAGTGCCTTCTTTCCTTCCAACAAGTTCACAGCCAAGGTCAAGTTCAAGGATTTCTATGAAAGGGCTCATCTGAGTGGGAGTGCAGACCAGAGCCAAACCCACTCGCTGTTTGCACCTATCTTTTGCTAGGTTGGAAGCAAGTCACAGAACTGGGAGCACACATTTGCAAAACCAAGCAATATTAAGGCGTTTCCCCAAGCTGGGAACAACTTCAGGCTGAAACAGGGAGGAAGGCTGGAATTCCTGTGACTGCCAGACTCACTTTCAAGAGCAATTAATCTGTTTACATGCTGGTTTATTTATTTATTTATTTATTTATTTATTTTTAGTCCTATTTGATCCGCAACCTACGGCTCTCAGAGTCCCTGAGAAAGAACCAACTCTGGAATGGGATTATAAGTATAACTCTGTTGGAAGGGAAGAATGTCTCAGGAGGGAACATGTCAGAGATGTTTGTCCAGTTAAAACTGGGAGATCAGAGATACAAAAGCAAGGTAAGTTCTGTTAATTAGACAAGGAGGACATTATCTTTCCAAGTGATAAAAGTGAAAAATGTTCCCACTTTAGTAAGAGGCAGCCAGCTTATTTTTCGCCTCTCCCCAGCCATGTAGCATCCCAGAAAACAAAATAACCATATAGATCAAGTAAACTGATATAGGTATCGCTTAGTGCCATTTATTTTCAGAATATCTCAGAGGTAAAGAATTTATATTCATGTACTTCATATGTAAAGAAAGCTTATTAAATCATAGTTCTGGATGCATGGTCTGTCTTCAGTTAGAGAAAAAGCAATGTGAGCTTCAAAGAACTGTAGGAAAAGGGTAGTTGAGTGTTTTTCATTACTCTAAAATAAAGTGGCACAGTACTTGATAACATTAAAATGTTGAAGATGAGTACAAGTATTTTCAAAATTGTATGTCTCTTCCCTTGTTAGTCTTAGCACCAAAAGTAAATGTCTGGTGTTTCTGGGGTTTGCTGTTTTGTTTTTTTGTTTGTTTGTTTGTTTGTTTGCTTTTTGGTTTTTTGTTTTGTTTTTTGTTGTTACTTATTAATTTTCCCCCAAACAAATCACATAACGTACGAAAAAAATAACCATGCTTTTAACTGTTTTTTTAAAAATAAGTTTTCTGATCCTGTCAATCCAAATGCCATATAGTTCTTAATCTTAGTAATTTGGTGTGGATTGAATTAAAAAACAGTGGTTTTTTAAACTATGGAAATTAATTAATTTTCATCGTTATACAACTATTTTGTAACTGCCAGATAGGAACATGTTTCAAGTTTTATGAATTAAAGGGGCTAGAGTGATTGAAAGTTTTGTCACTTGTCAAAGGATGGACACACACACACACACACACACACACACACACACACACAGACAATCCTAGAAGGTTTTGAAAGAGCACCCAAGGATATTTGCACTGGGCTATTGGCATCCAGGAAGCAGTCAGGGTTAGACAACTTGGGAAAAGAGATGAAAAGACAAGAGGTTGGATGCTGCCAAAATTTTAGTGCAAAATCCAACATTTGACATCCTCCACTCCATAATAAAGGAGTGGTGGGAAGACAAACGCATAACAAACAAGTGTGTACAAAAAATGGAAAATGAGTGGGAGTGAGATGTGAAATGTACAGATGATAATCACTTCTAACAGATCATTTCAGGCAGAGCCTAGCAATGAATATACTGGAATGATCACTTCCCTCTACTCAGAAGTCGTTAGCCACTGGTGGTCAGGGTTAGCATTTCTGGAAAGCGTATTCATCTCTATGACAATTAGCTGTTCAGCAGGAGGTGAAGTGTAGAGTTAGACCAATGTCTAGTACATTCCCTGTGGGAAACACTGCATTGGATTTTTATTTCAAAGATATGTTTTCTTCTTGGAACCTAAATTCTGTGATCTGGTATGATATAAAATGGTATAATACCAACTCAAATGTGTTTATGTGACAGGACAACAGCTGAGGTATGAGATACCCATGCTTTCTCATGCATGGGGGTAGTTGGTGCTGACTTAAGAGTTGACCTGTGGGTTTAGAGCCCAGACTCAGTCACCAATGCTTAAAATATGTATTCACAAATTAAATCTCTATGAAAGAAAGAAAAATGAAGAGCCTTTCTGCAAAGCCATGCCATGGGCAATTTGTTCATGGGAATATGTGTGTGACTTTCTATAACTGGTTAATTTTCCAGTATGGTGGAGTGGAATTGTCCAGTTTTCCCTTTGCCAAAGCATTGTGGTTCAGTATCTTTGGACTTAAAAGAAGTCAGTTCTGTGATATCGTATGTTATAGAGTTCTCATTTAATGCGTCCACAAAGTGTTAGTTTATCTGATGCTTAAGCCAAGTCTGATATATGCACCAACACAGACACTGCTTGCATTTGCCTAAACAGTTAAAAATGCTATCTTATATAGGAATGTGCCATTGCAGACTCTTTGTGTACATTCACTGTATGTTTGTGTGGTTTGTACAATTTCTTATGTTAGTCTTTTTAACTTGATAAAGGAATTGCTGCATTTGGGAGTCAGTTAAAAGAGTAGTCACATTTTGCTAAATCCCAAGTCCTAGAGGGTCCCTTTTATTCTAGAAGTTAAGTGTATTTTTGCTAAGAGACCCACCCCATCATGGTGACTTCCTGCCCTATAGACATGACATGAATGTGTTACTGCTGTAGCCATGAGAGACCTTCTGAGAAAGTAAACCCTGTAACTGCATGTTTTCTAGACACTGTGTAAGAGTGCAAACCCGCAATGGCAGGAACAGTTTGACTTTCACTACTTCTCTGACAGGATGGGCATTTTGGACATTGAAGTGTGGGGAAAGGACAGCAAAAAGCACGAGGAGCGACTGGGCACGTGAGTCACTCTGCTACTACTGGGGTGGGAACTCCTGACTGTAAAGTGCTAGGTCTGAAAGAATGTCTTATCTGTTCGGGTTGGGAGTGGACACCCATCTCCAACCTCAGGGAGCAAATAGGAAGCTGGGCAGCCGCTTAATGTGGGAGGGGTATTGGTTTTCTTGTTGATGAATACAATTCAATATTCAATTCAGGCTTTAAAAATAAGAAAGTAGAATTGTTCCTCCTCATCCATGGGGAGCCCATTCCAGGAACTCATGATGGTAATAATGTACTCAAAGGTCAGAGTGCATGGGGTATGTGTCGTATTTGCACTCAGGTACCACAGATGCTTGCTTATCTTACATGATTTGTTTCTGGGTTACAAGTGATACCTAATATAATGTAAAAAAGTGGCTGTTAGATCCCAAGGTGACTTCATGTGGTTAGTATGGACATATTCTTTATTCAAGGTTGGTTGAATCCATGCATGTGGACACTGTGTATTCAAAGGGACCACTGCAGTCTACGTTATCACGAAGTCTCCAGAGGAAGTTATGTGCTGTCTCAGACTGGTGGGACAAGTCTAGAAACATTTGCAGGATTTCATTTTAGTTTTACAATGTATTGTGTGATTTAGTGGAAAAACACAGTGAGTTGTTCCCCAGGATAGAAAAGTTTCAATGTCCCTGATATGTTTGCTGACAAACTATTATAGAACCCGAAGCAACTATAAAGGTATTCTGTTATTTGCATACTTTGGAGGTCTAAAATAGGCAACTCAATTGAGGTGGTCTCCCATGGGTGACATTAAAAACACGAGAATTATAGTTTCTTCATAGGATTGCAGTAAGGAATGAGATAAAATCTCAAGCACTGTGCTGGGCCTGTAGTGGGGATCATGGAAACACTGGCAGACATTCACCTTACATCTGATCTCAGGTAGCAGAATCCTACAAGCTAGGGAGACCAAGTCATCCGGTGATGTGGTCTTGGGCTAGCCAACAATGAATTAATTCCCTGGCCAGGATTTGGGATTTTAAGGATCCCATTCTTTATATCAAATCATTCCCTTTAGTTTTGCCCCTAGATGTATAATTTGTATACACTTCTTAAATGATAAACACAAATGTTTAAAGGGATGCCAAAAGCTACTGGTTGTCGGCTTGGAACCTCAGCTTAAGACTGTGTTCCGAGCCACTGCTGAGGGAGGAGAGAGATACTTTCACCTCCCCTATGTGGCCAATACATCTTGATATTTGGGATTCCAGCCAAGGACAGGGCTTTATTACTCAAAACTAAACAGTAAAATAGCTTATTTGCTTTTATATTGGCGTTTTATAACAAGGGACTGATAGAACAGTAAGGAGTTCTGAGGGAGACTTGTCATTGGGCCTGCTAAGCAAACCTTCAGACAGTCCCTTTTCTCTACAGAGCTCTTGGTGCAGAAGGAGTGACCCTGCAATGCAGTGTTAACCCTGCTTGCTGTCTTTATATCATCATTCCTGAGGTAGTTGCATGAGAAGTTCAGCACCCACAGAATTCCCCTTTTGTGTCTCAACACAGCTGTCCCTTACATGGTGTTCCCTGAAATGTAACAGGACACTTGGAGCAGACTGGCTGGTTGCCATCCACCTGACACCAATGACTTCCCACAAATACCCAGAAACAGGCATGTGGTGGCGCACACGATGCCTGCATTCTATTATGTGTGGCCAGGTACCCACTAAGGGAACAGCCAGCCAGAAGCACGGCAGTTTCATCTCTGCCTTTCACCCTGTACCTGCCCAATACAGTTGGCTTTGCCTTGCAGGTCTTCTCAAGTATGCTCTGCTGCCTGTCTGCTAGGTAGTACTCATGGCTTTCCTATGTTCGCTGGGCTCCCTGGGTGCAAAGCATAGCGAGCAGGATCATGCCGCATATTCCAGATCCGGCGGGAAGTGTTTGACAGTCACTTCATGTCCAGTCACTATCTGATCTTGCTTCTTTCCCAGTACCTCCAGCATCCTCAGTTCTCTGACACGCCAGAGCCCTTCAGTATCAAGGGCGGTAGGACCACAAAGTTGGGAGTAAGGCTAAGTTAGGAAACTCAGGGAACTCTGTGTCCCAAAGTGTTATCTGCACAGTGGGTATCGGGCCTCCTGTGATGAATGGCCCAGGGTTATTTTAGTAGGCGCAAATAATAAAGCCTTGCTTGTCTCATGGCACTGCATTGTCATGCTTCCGTCACATAATAGGAAATGCTTTTGCAAATGAGTGTTATGTGGCTGCATAGAGACAAAAAAATAACTGGAGACGTCCTGTGTGGCCTATGTTTTGTCATTCGGGTATTCATTTATTATTTTAGCCATTTCCTGTTTGTAACTGAGATGTCTACCTGTCTTCGCATCATTCTGTCCTTCCTCTTTGCGGATTGGAAAGGGATTTTGTTTCTTTTTTGGGCATCCTTTTCCTTTTTCCGCTCTTGCAATTCAAAAGATAACAAAAGTATCTCTTGGGACGCCTGGTTCTGGACAGCATAGTATTGCAGTGAATATAGGTGGACAGAGTCCTTGCTCACATAGAATATCGCTTCTCAGGTTTACTGAAGACCTAATGGCGGGACAAGGTGCCCTGGGTTTTGTAATCCTAATACTCAAGAGGCTAAGCAGGGAAGATTATGAATTTGGGACCAGTCTGGGCTGCACAGAAAAACCCTGTCTCATAGATAAACAAAAGCACAAACCATTGTATACAATATGCAGCTATTTCTGGTAAGTTACTTATAGAGCGTCCTTACTTTAAAAAATTGCACAGCAGTGTCTGTGTGTGCAAGTTTGCATATGTCAAGATGTTCATGTGGTAGCCGGGCGTTGGTGGCGCACGCCTTTAATCCCAGCACTCGGGAGGCAGAGGCAGGCGGATCTCTCTCTGTGAGTTCGAGGCCGGGCTGGACCAACAGCCTCCAAAACAATACAGAGAAACCCTGTATTATTCACTCTTAGACTTATCTATTCTTGCTCCAACTGTTCAAAAATCAAAGTGTCTCTAGTAGTGTAAACAGATGCTCACTGTCTGCTAAGACCCATTTTCCATTTTATTTTGGAGAACGCAGTCATGTTAATACTTTCAAACCCCTCTAAGGAAGTTCTCCTTGGTAAGGATTCCCATTGCAGATAATTTGATATGGGAAAGAAACATCATTACTTATATGATTTTGGTAATGAACCCACTGCGTGTCTGACTATTTTTCTGTGTAATGGAATTCATGGCCAACATTCAGGCCAGAACTGGTAGCAATATTCATTGACATAGTCTACTGTGAGCATTACATTAGTGTTAACAATTTTGGAAATTTTCTAAATGGCAACTATACATCTCTATAAAATTAAAAGTTCAAGTAATTTATTTGAAGTCAATTAAATGTAACCAGTAAAATTCAGTATGTTTTTCAAAATATAGACCGCATGCACAATGGTGATCTTTAGATTGCTTCTTCCCTGAGCCTATGTTCTGAGGTTTCTAGAGCCTGACTTCCCCTCTGCTATGGAATACTGACCCACAGGTTCTACTTGACCTTCAGTAACTCTCAAGATGTGGTGGATGGAGCCCCAAGATGAACTTGCTTTCAGCAAGAGCCAACTTCCTTTAAGAACATACTTCCTAACTCACTGTTTTCCTTTCTTTTTTTTTTTTACTGGCAAAGGAACTGTAAAAGAAATCATCAGATCTGAGGCAGGGGGAGTGAACTTTTAAGGAAAGGAAGACATAAGCCCAAGAGAAACCAATCCCAGCTATGTGTGCATACATTACAATATAACTAACAATACAAGCAAATAATAAGCCCCAGGAATCTTTCTACCACAAGCCCCCAGCACGGAGTTAGTTGTGAACACTATGCTCCCCGCTTTTATGTTTGTATTGAAGATCTGGAATCCTCCTGCTTGAACGGCAATCACTTTACCTGCTCGGCCATCCTCCAGCCTCTGCTGTTAATGAAATGAAACAGTACAAAGAACAGAATATTAATTATTCCTTTTCTGTGCTGTTTCAAAGAAATCATTTTCTTAACGGATGCGTTCCATTTCGGGGCGATTGTTTCGTAGAATACTCTGAACTTAGGTTTAGACTGAGAATGCACACTCCTGTTTTGATCTGCCTCCCAGCCATTCCTTGGTCCCAGATGGCATCTTAAAGTGGCTCTGACATCCTACCAGTTTATTAGTGGCTTTGAAGCAGTGAACAATCCGGGCTGGAATATTTCTCTGGACAAATTGCAGCCCATGTCGTTGATCTGCTTTTACAGCCAGGCTTGACACATTCCCCGTTCTCTTCCTGTTCGCCCACATCCTCAGTGGCTGAGATTTACAGCTTTTCAAACTGTAGCACTCTTTCCTGCCCCTTGCATTTAAGCTAAAAGCCGGCCAGTCTGTAATATAAAACATGGAATTATGGTAATCAAGAAGAGGTTAAAAGCTACCACGGCAAGTCAAAGTTGGGCCGGTTTGGCTGACTGATATGGTAAAATTATGTGTTGAATTAAAACATTAAAATGTTGTGGGATTAATGGAGAAAGACAAGAATGGGAGGTCAGAAACAATGCTAAATCAGCACTTTAACAGCCAGTAGAGAAAGTGGGAGGCTTTACTAAATGTCTGTTGCAAGAAAAAAAGTAATAAGAGTAATTTAGTCTCTGTTTCCTTCAGGTAAGTAGACATGTGAAGTTCTCAACCTCAAACCCAGGAAATCCATTTACTTTTTTGTTTGTTTGTTTTTTCTTCTATACTGGGGAAGAATGATGACTGTGAAATAATTAACCAAAGGGATAGGCTTCTATCATTTGAGATTGGGGGTAGTTTTCTTACTCCATTGGCAATTGTTTGTTTGAGCATTCATTTTATTCATCAGTGCAGAGCCCTCTTGGATGCTGGACTATGTTTAAATCAGTGAGTGTTCATTATGAAGTAATGGAGGCAAATCTCCTGCCCTTATGCACTAAATTATTGGCTGCTGCAAGGAGCCAACAGTGCTCCTACCATTGGTGTGAAGGTTGTGGATTTCAGAATCATGCAAATGACCTTGGGTGGACAGAGTTCCAGAAACAGGGTTAATCAGAGATTTGTAAATTGAGTTAGTTGAGATCAGGGCAGGGACAGCTGGAGGGATGGTGCCATGGACCAAAGAGTTCAAATCACAATAAGCCATGTAAAAGCCAGATGCATAGTGTGAAAAGCTGGAATCCCAATCCTACTATAGGGAGTTGGAGCTGGAGATGGGAGAATCCTCAGGAGCTTGGGATCCAGTAAGCCTAGTGTATTCTACAGAAAAAGAACAAAGAGGGCCTGTCGGAAACAAGGTAGGACCAGTCGCTGAATTTGCCTTCTGACTTCCACATGTTTCCCATGGCAGACACACTGAGGAAGTCAGTACAAACACTGGCAGGTACCTTCAGAGGAGACAAGCTCCTGTGTTTGGTAGAATCTGGAGAGGTGGGAAAAGGCTGATAATGTCTCCGGATGAAGTTGGAGAATAAGGCAGGACATGTAGTTATGGAAGCCTATGTCACATTCATGAGTGCAGTAGCTTCTTTCTCTCTAGGTGTGCATAAATCAGTGACTGTTCTGCCTTCATTTCCACAGGGTGAATCTTTGAATTGTTCCTGTATTCCTGTCAACTCCTTTTGCTAAGATTTGAAGCTAGAATGTGTGTTTTCTGGTTCCACACAGGACCTCTGGGTTGAATATCCTGGTTGTCTAGAGAGGGTCACTAACCTTGCACAAGGAGTAAAGCATGACACTCTGGTGACAGCTATACTTCCGAAATGGTCATTAATTGGATTTCTTATAAGGGGGTTCTGAGTGGTTGAGGCTCTTCCAGCAGAGCAACGTTGAAATGGTGTTTCTTTATCTCTTTTTACTAGGAAACAGATCATTGGGTATTTTTGGCTCAGCTTTGTAGGGGATAGTGAGATAATTTTTTAAAAATTCTTAGGTTAATGTCTCCCATGCCTTTATTGATCTTATGATATTCCCTTCAAGTAATATTGCAATTAAAAAAGTACTTCCATTGGTGTAATTCACCACAGCCCAAATGACAGTTATTTCTGTGCATCAAGATTGACAAATAGAATCCAGGAGTCAAAGCTTTTGAGTAAATGAAGCTTTATTGGAAAAAAAACCCTCATTTTTTACATTGTTATAGTGTAGCTTTGTTGTTATAAGAAGAGAGTAGAGTAGTTCCAGTCAAGATGATGGTCCACAAACTGGAATGAATGATTCCTGCATCATCACAGAAAAGAGTTCACTCCATGTGAGAATATCCTGGGTGCAGCCCATAACAGGACGACAGGCTAATTCCATGACTTGCCAATAACAAGTAGAGAGGATGATGTTGTATCATCCTTGTGTTTAGTACAGGCTAATCCTGTACCTACCTACAACAGTTGGGGGGGGGACAAGAACAGCTGCAAGCAAGCAGACAAACAAGAACAAACTAAATTTATTTTGTATATTCTCTGAGACAAGTGCATTGCAGTAATGGGGATGAAAATGTTCCAAATGCAATGTATGAAGTTCTCAAATAATTTATAAAACTATTTAAATCCACACAAAGCGTGTCTTGGATTTAAGTAATAAAGGCATCTTTAATTGATTTTTAAACAAATTACCTATGTCTTGAAGAGTTTAGATTTGCTTTGTTATCAAAGAACAGAAGCCTTCCCTGTCACAATGAGCCAAAAAGGAATTTACTCCAAATATTTGGAATTTACATCTTAGCAGATAACTAGGAATTGATAACTGAGCATCACATGTAGAAATGTTTTAACCCTCATGAATAAACAGACAAAACATTTCCAGTTTGGTTAATTTAGAGAAAGTGCTTCCCTTTCCAAAATAAAGTGTCCTTAACAATGGGAAATAGTGCTCATTGTTATATATACTCTTGTAATATTAATGATATGGGAGTTTTTACTTTTTAAAAGATGGCATATAACACTTGATATTTCTCTATTAAGCACATTGGGTTCCTCCACTTAAACAATTACTTACATAATAAAATTAATTAGTGACCTCTATTTTCAAGGGCAGAGGTATACTTTATTTTATGAAGGCTTCTTATTGCTATAGAAAATATTATTTTCATTAAAAGCATGGAAAATTAAATATATTTGCATCATAATTTTTCTCTAGTAGAAACATTTGAGATTTACTATATATAATATAAATTAGCATAATATAAATCATATATCTTTAATTTATATACCACATATAATACATAATATAAATATACATAGCAAATATAAATAATATATATAAAATAATCAATACCCCTTCCTGTAATTGGAGGTTACTTTACATAAATATCAATTAAAAACCTATGCATGCTTAATGTCAGAGTCCCTTCTTAGTATGTGAATTTTGATCTTGTAATGAAACTGGGAATAGATTGGCAATTTACTTTCCCCCTGTTTTTAATTGTGAGGGAGACCATAACTTTCCCAGTTAATTTTGTCTTTGTATCTGTGTGGCTCCAAATTGCCATTGCTTTCCTTACTGTAAGCTTACTTACTCCGGTTTTCTGCTAACACACAAAGTCTCTTGAAAAGCTAGAATAAAATCTGCTTCAGTTCATTGCGAGAGGCAGTGCTTCCGTTCTTTCCAAAAGTCTTGAATATTCATCATCTTCATAATTGTACAGAGTCTCTGAGAACTGTATAGAATAATCAAATCTCGGTGCTTCTATCGCCCGCGTCAGCCTGCCCCCAATGCTTTCCCGTCTTCTTCACCCACCTGCATCCTTAAACTTAGAAGGCGCGGTTCACGCAAAGCCGGAGCTCTCAGTGTGGAAGCAAGCAAACAGCTCAGCACCTAAGAGTCCCCCTTTGGAGAGTTTGCTTCCCTGTTTAAATATGTTTGAGGTTCTCAGCAGCTCCTCAACTCTTAAGAGGCAAAAGCCCTGCAATGTATAGCAGATGGGTACAGCTCTTCCTGGCGGTGCTGGAGAGGCGAGGCGGGATCAATCATGAACACTTCGTGCTGCATTTGTCCACGAGACACTCACCTGGGGAAGCCTGCCTGTTAGGAAACCACCTCTACATGTTTCTGTAACTAGAAACTTGCCAGTTGCCTGTAATTAGTTGGGAAGAAAATGATTTCCTCAGCCACTCTTCCTCCGCACGTGGTAGTCCTGGCTTTTCTCTTTCCGTGTGCAAGTTCCTGACCCTTTATTTAGGGTAGGGCAAGTCACAGGGAAAGCTCATCCCCGACACTCACTCACACTTCACAATGCTCTTCTCCCTTATTCTTGATTGTACTGTCCTTTCGCGGCCCTTATTTGGCAAAGACCTGGCATTTTTTCCCCTTGCCATACTCTGTTATTGCCTTTTTCTTTTTTTCATTGTCTTTAGTGAAAGTGAATCTTTAATTTAGAACACTTTGGCCAAGAGAGTACCCTGAGCCAAAGGAACTCTGGGAACCTTCCTCGATCAATAACCTGTATCCAGACAGTGAAATTTGGTTGTGAGGAAATATGTGTGAAACGGGGACTCTGGAAGCTCACTGTGGCCTTGAATTAATCCCTGCTTTCCCTATCTCCTGAAATGTTTCTAGGTGTAAAGTGGACATCTCAGCACTCCCGCTGAAGCAAGAAAACTGCTTGGAGCTACCTCTGGAGAGCTGCCTAGGGGCTCTCATCATGTTGATCACCCTGACTCCCTGTACTGGAGTGTCCATCTCTGACCTCTGTGTCTGCCCCTTAGAGGACCCCAGTGAAAGGAAGCAGATATCCCAGCGATATGTGAGTACATTGCCTGCTCACATTGCCCCCTCCTCTCTGCCTCCTCCCACCCAGCTTGTACTTGGAAGTTGAAGCCAAGTCTATGCATTTAAGAAACTACCAACAGAGATCTTGGTGGCAACTTCAATTCCGTGTCTCATGAAATAAGACAACAGGGCTCTATGCATTAGCAAGGTGGTGAAGGGAGGCTTGGAGTTGACCTTGCTGTTTCAAAATAACAAAAAGCTGTTTGCAAGTTGCTGAAGGATGCTCCAGGAATACTAGTCTAGCCTGCCTGTGGATGTGAGTGGATATTTGAACAGAAAAGAACTTTGTTAGAGGAAACTTTCTAAGCAACTATAAATGTTCAGCGTGATTTATAGAGAGTTTTTTTTTTGGATGGGGGGGCTGTGCCTGACTAAAGCATGGGGTTGATGCGAAGGACTTTGTTCTGTACCACATTGATGGTGACATCAGTGTATGACCGTCTCTAAGTACTGTCATGTGTGTAACGGTTACTCAGCATTTATCTGTCCATTTGCTTCTTGAACTATGGCCTTCTAGGTGCCTTTATTTCCATAATTTTTGTTTTTTATTTCCTCACCTCTTCTTGGAAGAAAGCAGAAACGAATACTTTCCTCAAGTGGAAAGTGAATTGTGAAGTTTATGTGAATTGAAATTCAAGTGGACTGTGAAATTGATGAAGCATGCTGTATATTTATAAAAGGATGTTTTGGCATCATAATGACTGCTTTAAATAACATTTTAGAATTTGAGGCTACTAAGAAAGGAGACATACTGAGTTTCTTTGGTGAGCTAGTATGTGTGAGAGAGAAAGAATACACTATCACTTGGTGTTTACATATAGCTTAGACTAGCCTAGAACTGACTGTGTAGCCCAGGCTTGCCTCAGAGCCCAATCCTCCTGCCTCAGTCTTAACTTTGGGATTGCAGGTATACATGGCCACCATCCTGACAGAGTGGTGGTCTGTAGAAAGCACTTCTGTCTTTATATTATGGAAATATCCATTCCCAAAGCTTCCATATAGCTCAAAAACTATCTGGTTGGTTTGTCGAGGGAACAAATAGAGGGAAATCATAGTTTTCATAAGTTCTTAGAGCTGCCGTGTGTTAAATTAGGCTAAATATAATTAATATTAAACTTTTGCTGTTTTACCCTCACGTGCCCAAATAGCAAGGTTTTTACTGTTGTCTCTTAAGTTTTCAGAGCCTGCTTATCCCACTCTTTTAGCTATTTAGTAAGGATGGCAACAATTTTGAAGCTACATTTTTTTTCTTCAATAGACATCATTGGTAGGCATGGGAATAGGTACCTGCTTATCGCTGGTCCATGTGTTTTCAAGGATGCTGTGTAAAAACAACTAAATGCTACTATGTCAGCGTCAGAATCACGAGTAAATGTGGATCATGTTAATTTAAGACTAAAGAGAATGTGACTACAGGGTACTAGAAGCACAATTGTTCATTTAATGAATGGAACTGGTTGAATCATAGACCAGGAAACTGGGTCTAGATCTATCCCCGATTTCTTTCCCTTGGTAGTAAGCATTTACCAGAAATGAAGGTTAGTCCTATGGTATCCATAAAGTTTACAAAAACAAGGCCAGCTTGAATTTGCCTTTAAAGGTGATTTAAAGTTGCATTAATGAGAAAAGGCAGGAGAGAATGAATGGTAATTCCACCCACCCATTTTCCCAGTGGGCTCTCTGTGCTAGCACCAGGGGGCGATGTTAAAAGCAGATTGTGAGTGCTTCTAATTTGTTTATTTTGAGGCTGCTGTTAATTAATTCTCAGTCAATTTTCTTCTAATCTGGCTGTGATACATGCCTAACGGGCCTGGTGCCTGACATGAGACAGCTTTGCAACTCTTCTAAGAATTTCATGAGGAAGTTATTCAGGAAATAACTTCTGGGGGAACTTCAAGACAGGAGCGCCATTCTCACGTGTGTGCAACCTCCTTTGTCTCCCGCAGGCCCTACAGAATTCACTGAAGAATGTGAAGGACGTGGGCATTCTACAGGTGAAGGTTCTGAAGGCCGCAGACCTCTTGGCAGCTGATTTCTCAGGTACAGAACGCAAGCCCTATCATTCACTTTTGTTATCACCGTTCCTCTTGCTTCAAAGTGAACTTCAGGCAAAACAGGATGCTTAATAAGGAATAACCGTCAGCTCCCTTTGAATAAAGCAATGGGAGGCAAGGCACACATGGGAGCAATTGTTTCCTCTCAATGCACATTTTCCACGAGATAATTTCTTTTCAAATAATGTTACTCAGAGGCATTCGTGTAGCAGTTCGTTTGGGATTCCAACATGCTAATAGATTGATAGCCTCGTAGTCCCAGCTTCTGTACTTGTAAACTACGGCTTGGGCCCTGCTTTGCTGTGGCCCCTGCTGTGGATCCTGCCCCCTTCACATACTCACTTCGATGTTGAATGCTGCAGTCCACTATTCAATAGGCAATGCTGGTTCCTTGGTGTTTGAGCGTCGCTGGGTTAGTGACCAAGGTCAAGGCCCTGGGATGGCCTTCCACTTCTTGTTGCACTTTAGGAACATTGGTACTTTGTGAACTTGAACTTTCAGATGGAGGCCCCAATGGACCTTCTTTGTGCCACAGTGAACTCTGTAGCAAGTACAGGCTTCCAGACGTGACAAAGTCTGACTGGTCACTTCCCACTCATCGCTATCCAAGTGAAGGGCTAGCGGTGTCTAATCTGGATTCACAGACAGTGTGAGCTTCCTCATGTGGGTGCTGGGACCCAAACCTGGGCCATCTAGGAAAGCAGAAAGTGTTCTTAGCTTGTGAGCCATCCCTCTGGCTCTACATTAAATTCTAATAAGCTGAAAATTATATGACCAACTTTTAAGAAGTTTAAGCTTGACAAGAATTTTAACATTCAATCACATCTTTGTCAACAATTATTGAAAATAGGAACTTAATTTTAAGAAGTTTAGCATTCTGCAGGTGATAAGGAAGGACTGCAATGTACTTATATGAAATGACTTATCTCCACCTCAAGGAATGTCACAGTGAATAGATTGAAGATGTGTTTTTATGAAGTACTAAGACAGCAATTTAAGTCTTATAAATGCAATACTCAACACGTTTTTTACACATGTACTTGTATGTAGTGTATGTTTGCATGTATGTGGGTACATGTCTATGCATGGGTAAATGTGCATGCCCCCTTCTTGTGTGTGTGTGTATGTGTGTGTGTTCAGTCCTGAGCCTGACATATGATATCATTCTTAATTGCTGTCCACCTTAGGTTCTGAGGCAGGGTCCCTTGTTGGTCTCCAAGCTCCCCATTTCAGCTAGTCTGTCCACTCAGTTTACACTAGGGTCTCCCAGTCTCTGCTGCCCTCATGCTAATATTGCATCCCAGTTTTTACTTGGGTTCTGCAGATCTAAACTCTGCTTCTCACACTTGTACAGCAACACTCTTTTGACCAAGCTACCTTCTCAACCCTCAAAGAATACTTGGAGTATTCACTAATGTAGCTGTAGATGTGAATGGACTCAATAAATAAGACATTCTCCTTTCTTTTCATTTATGGATTGAGAAAACATGCACTGTTACATTTGTACCTTTTTGCGGTGTTGCTTTTATTCATGACTCATTTAAGATTAGTATGCAGAATGATGGTTTTCTTTATGGCATTATTATACATGTCATTAGACTCATGTGTGCCTTCAACAACATTTAACAAGTGCCTTTGATATTCACTGGTTTTGCCATCACTGAAACATATTCAGGGTTATCAATTTGTTTTCCAAAATGGATTCGTTTTATTTCTAAGTATTTACATGTAACTCTTCTTTAGCCCATACTTGTTATTGTCTTTGGAAATGGCTTAAGCAAGAATGCATTTATGTATTTGAGTAGATTGTTTTTAAAACCTCTTTTTGCAGTTGTAGAAATTTGATTCCCAGTAAGTAAGGATACTGCATCCACGGCTTTGTTGTTCCTAAGGCCTTTCATACAATGATGTCAGCTATGAAAATAGTGTATGTGACCCGCTTTACTTTTACCCATCCTGTCATCTGATGCCCATGAGGCCCCTGAAATTACCATGGATGGTAGCTCTTTCAGGCCACTGAGCATTAGCCAAAGAGTACTTTGGCTACTTAAACAAATGGGGATGTAACTCCAATGTGAGTCTTTGTAAATGCCAAATGTAAGGTGAAACCCTTTTTTATAAAATATTAACTAGTAAGGAGATGTTAGTTTTACTTTTTAAAAAACATTCTAAGTATTCAGTAGATCATTTTGGGATACTGATGGTATCACAGCACAGCACAGTGGACAAAAGAGAAGTAATATTAAGGGTTTTTACTAAACATGAGTGTTTTCTCCTGTATATTATTAATGAGCAAATTGTAAGTATCAAAATTAAGTCAAAGTGACTTGCCATTAGCTAAACATGTCTTTAGACTATACGAATTTAGGCTCCTGGGTTTTCCAACCTGGGTACCTGTTTTTTGGGGACCAAGGAAACCTAGCCCACTATTATAATGTAAATTTGTGTTGATTTTGAACAATACAAGCTGGTAGCAGAGTCTACCCCCTGCCTCTCAAGATCTGAGATGATAGAATTTTTCTCCATTCCCGGCATAGTATAACTTTTCTACATGAAAAGAAATGGATTCCTATTATAGTGAGGGGATACACTCAATACCTATAAGAGGTCAACAATACAGACATACAGTGCGAACGTAAGTGTTATTGCTATTATAGTAATCATTATTATTGTTACCACTCCTGGTAATATAGACTAGGACAAGAGGATGGGTGTGTGCAGATGTGGGATGATGAATATGACCAAAATGCATCTCATGATATTCTCAGAGAAATAAGAAAAGATAATTAAAAGTGAAACAGTTATTCTGTATGACTAACAGTGTACTCTAAAGAAGGATAGTCATTTTAGAGAGGGTGAGAAAGGGTCCTTTCTATCTTTCTCACTTTCGTCTGTCTGTCTGCCCGTCCGCCTATGTTAACGATTCCTTACTTTTTAAAAGTAATGCCATGTAGCCAGGTGACGTGATTTTCCTCAGATTCAGAACCTGACTGAAGCAGAAGCAAGAGAGAGTACTGGGAGTGGTTCACAGAGGTCCCTGTTACTGTGTGCTATGGGTAGGGTCCCCTGTACTAGGGAAGGAGCAGGGGTACATGGCAAAACTGCTGGCTGTTCTCTGATTTGAATGCCATCCCTCTCTCTGTGAGTAATAATGGAAATATGAGTCACTCAAATCTCTGCCATCGCATTAAAATACTCATAGTTTGTTATTAATGATTATACAGTTATAACAAACTAAAACTAAAAGATGCTAGTATTTTAGAATATTGGGGTAAAATATATCTAATGAATATTTTCTTTTATGAAGAGCTAAATGAGTGGATAGCTTTTCATATGCCACAGGAGGTATCAATAGCTGTGTGTGTGTATTATCAATATTAAGATACTAACATCACCTAAGGACATGGAGGTTCTGACATATACTCCCATTTTGATTATTGCATCCTTGAAGCAATTTTAAATTTTATTCATTATCTGTGTGTGTGTGTGTGTGTGTGATGCTGTGTGTGTTCACACTTGCTCATGAGAGAGATAGAGCACCTACACATGCTTGCCATGTAGTTCTCAGAGTACATTTTTTTTTTTGCCATTTCTTTCCTTTCACCATGTGGATTCTGGGGATCAAACTCAGGTCATCAGGTTGGAGCTGCAAGCTCTTCCCCCAAGAAAGCCATCTTGCTAGGCTTATTTAATGCATTTTTACATAAACTACTAATGTAGAGAGAGATTGATGTTATTCATAATGAATTCATGTGAATTTCCATGCATCTTATTTTTGATTTTTTAAGGTTGCTGAATTTTTTTTTGTTTTTGTGTATAAGTTTTTTATTTTTTAAGGTTGCTGAATTGTGTGTGTGTGTGTGTGTGTGTGTGTGTGTGTGTGTGTGTGTGTGTGTGTGTAAGAGAAGCCTGCTTGGGACGCAACTACAGATGGACTTTCTTTTCTACCGTCAGCCCCAAATAATGACATGGAGACTACTTATTAGTTATGAAAGCTTGACCTTTGGCTCAGGCTTGTCTCGACTAGTTCTTACAACTTAAATTAACCCATTTACATTAATCTACATTCTGTCGCATAGCTCTATCTTTCTTTTATCTTGCACCTCGTGTTTCCTCTCTGTCTCATGGGTGACTTCACATTCCCTCTCCTTCCCAGAGTCCCCAGAGTTACACCTAACCTCTTTCTAGCTATTGGTTGTTCAGCTTTTATTACACCAATCACAGCAATACATTTTCACACAGTGTACAAATATTCTGCATTTCTACCCCTTTGTCTAAATAAAAAGACAAATTTTAAATTCTAATATAGTAAAACTATATACAATATGAACAGTTAGCGTGTAAGAATTACATTCACAATGTCTAGTCCATTTGTATTTGGAGAAAATACTCTATCATCTATCATATCTTGATGAATTTAAAGTTGTATACCTAAACAATTTTTAAGCATAATTTGTAGTGCGATCCTAAAATGATCTTTTTAGATCTCAATATATTTTCTTAGATAAACAGTTTAAAGTTTTGCCTCTCAAACTTATATACAGTGTACCTCTTTTGTGAATTTCCTAATTGAATTTGGTAATAAGAACTATAACTATAACTATATCATCTTTAACTCCATCAGAGACATGAGGAGAATATATTATTATAGGTAGTGCAGAGAAAACAAATGCCTAAACTACAGCAATGACAGAGACTGCTGGCTATCTGAACAGTCACCCGAGTTTCCTCTGCAAAACTGGGGCATCCATCTTTGGCCTATGGACCTAGAATATCTGACATACTTCTCTGTGAGGCAGGACTTTTGAAGGACTGTGCTACCTTGTCTTGGCAAAGTTAGACAGTTGCCTTCGTTTGTGTCCTGCTTGTCCAGTTTGAACTGCATACTGTCAGCAGTCAAGGCAAGGGAAGTTTCTTGCCCAAATGGCTTGATCTGCCACATTGAAAGCAAACTCCATACTTCAATTCCCATCATCCTTCGTTTGA